ATTCATATCCTTGCTGATTTTTGTGATTTTTTTTATTTTTGTGATGACATGAATGCATTTTGTCAAATTTGTTTATGTGACCAACAAGTGAAAGAATGACAACAATACACAATTCAAGAAACTCTTCATTTCATTGATATTTTATTCATGGATTAAAAAAAAAAAAAGTTCTAAATTATTCATACCCTAGTCCAACGTCTTTCTTTAATAGTCAATAGCATAGCCTTTGTTTATTTATGACTTTTTCTAGACAATTCTTGTGCATGTCCACAAGCTACCTGCATGTCTCCTGTGGGATGTTGGCGCACTCTTCCTTGGCGAAAGCCTCAAGCTCGGTAAGATTGGTCAGTTTCCTATCCATCACTCTGGTCTTCAAGTGTCGCCACAAGTTCTCAATGGGATTGAAGTCAGGACTCTGACTTTGTCATTCTACAACATTGACATCATTGTCCTCGAACCATTTCTTCACTACCTTGATGGTGTGCTTCGGATCATTGTCCTGCTGGTACGTCCAGTTGTGGCCGAGCTGGAGTTTCTCAGCAGATTCCTTCAAGTTTTCATCAAGGATCCTGATGTAATCCTCCCTTCTCATGATTCCTTGGACCCTGATGAGGTTCCCTGTGCCACTGGAAGAGAATAATTCCCATAGCACCATGCTTGACTGTGGGCACAGTCTTCTTCAAGTGTATGCTTCTCCTTTTTTCCTCCAGACATATTTAGCACTCATATGGCCAAATAACTCCAACTTTGTCTCATCTGACCACAGGGTGGTTGACCAAAAGCTGGGATCTTGCTTCAGATGACCTCTAGCAAAGGCAGTTGTTAGCAAAGTCGCTAACAACTGTCTATACACCGTAGTCCTCACTAGGGTTGCGGGGGGCTGGAGTCTATCCCAGCTGCCTCAGGGTGAAGGCAGGGGACAACCAGTCACAAGGCTACACAGAGAGACAACCAAGCACACTCACATTCACACCTGCGGACAATTTAGAATCAGCAATTAACCTCATCATGTTTTTGGATTGTGGGAGGAAGCCGGAGAACCTGGAGAGAACCCATGCTGCACAGGGAGAACAAGCAAACTCCACGCAGAAGGATCCCAGGCATCCTAACCGGGACGTGAACCGTGGATCTTCTAGCGAGGCGACGGTGCTAACCACCGAGCTACTGAGCAGCCCTCAAGTGAATACAACTTTGTTTATATAGCACCAATTCACAACATAGGTCTTCTCATAGCACTTGTTGACCTTACTATGTGAACTGCCTTGAGATGGCATATGTTGTGAACTGATGTTGCATAAATAAAAGTGAATTGAATTAAATTAAGTTTCATTATAATCAATAGTTAATATAGCACTGGATGGTGAAAAAATATGAGAATGCAGAAATACACTGGAGCATTTTGTGTCATTTTTCTTGAAAACTCAAAGTTGTGTACCATGTAAATTGGAACGAGTCCAAGATAAATGTAATCTTGGTCTAAAGTGTCAGTGAAACAAAGGAGAAAGCACATGTCATTTATTTCAACACATATCTCTTTTCTGTTGTCTAACTACAAAATTTTGTAATAAAGAGGTAAAAAAAAAAAAAGCCATCTGTTCACAGTCTGGATTTATCTGCACTGCACAACTCATCTGGTAGTTGAGGACCAATCGTGTACATAAACTAAAGAAAATATCTGGTTCTAAAGAATGTGAGCAAGATTGGACACAATTTTAAGGAATTATCAGACCTCTGTTATTGATGGGTATTAGAGATGCTGATGTAACTGTAAAAAGTAAAATACATACTGTAAATTCTGCACTACTGAGTGCACCTGAATATAAGCCACACCCACTAACTTTAAAAAAAATAAAAAATAAAAAAAATAAATAAAAATTTTGCACATATATAGGACGCACTTGTCTGTAAGCTGCAGGTGTTCACATTGTAACATGAGATATTTACAAAGAAAGATGTTACACAGAAAGATTTTTTAAACTTTTAATTAAATAGGTAAACAATAGGAAAAATACACAAATATGTACCGTAAATGCTTTTTGTTGAACAGTGCCTGTAACATGGCTGGTTAAAAAAAAAAAAACACAGTCGCCTACCAGCAAAAGTCATTGATCACCATCTTCATCTTCCTCCTGCACACTAAAACCACTAAAGTCGTCTTCTTCAGTGTTGGAATTGAACAGCCTCAGAATTACTTTGTCCCACACTTTCTCAGTCTCTCTTTCATTGTCACTCTCAATGTCACTTTCGTCTCGAGGTAAATTCGTAAAAATTGTAAAACTCCATAAATTACCTGCATCATTGTTTAAGCCTCAGTGTTCGAAGTGTGTGAAAAAAGAAGCGGCTTATAGTCCGGAATTTACGGTATTTTGTGGCCAGACATATTGATTTATCTGACAAAATAATGACTCTGGTGGTGCTTTCATTTTGAGTTTATCTTTGGTCAACTTGCAGACTTGCAGTGTTTGAGCAAACAGTGAATTGCTGAGTCCAATGCTAAAGCTGTTTTGTTGTGTAATATTAAAACCAGCATTCATTTTACAGCACATCTCTCCCTACATTGTACTGTACATATCATTAGTGTAAGTCTTCCTCCCTCACATATCAACACAAGTGGTTTGATACAAGTTTTCTTTTGTTCAGATATACTGTACTGTATTATATAAAGTTCCCTTCATTTGAATAGCACCACTAGGGCTATAATAATGTTCTTGGTACTTAAACACTCTTCATACACTCAGTAATTTGTTGAGAAATGTACTGTATGTGTGTATAACATTATGGACCACATAAATGATAAAACTAACATGACAGCTGAAGCTGCAGGGCTTTTGCAAACTGAGTGTATAATGTTATAATAAAGTTAGCATTTATAAAAGGAAGTGCTTCATTGTGATAGATGGTAACAGTAAAGGTCGGATTTCACTTTCAAAACTTTTTGTTGACTTTGTGGAATTCATTGGCTATTGCTAAGTAACAAGTATTGTTGAACAGAAACATATTAAATTATTAACATGCAAAGATAACTGAGTGCTCAAGGTGTAAGCAGTCATGGAAATATGCTCACATGCTCATCCAATCCTGTCACAAGCTCAAAAACAAATGTTGCATAAAATGACTCTAATGCACTCATAGTGTGTGTTTATAGTGTGCAGATGATGACTAATCAGCAACATATGAGGCGTTTCTTCAAACCTCTTTGTTTTGATTATGTGTTTCCACTGACCCAAAGGTGCAGGAATGTAACTGTAACCCAAAAAGCTCAAGCATGAAAATGAACTCATATGCTGCTCTAGGAATCTGCCTGGCAGCTCTAAGGCAGATTGAAAACTTAAAAAAAAAATCCAGTTCTCAGTCATGATCTCTGACCTTTGTCTTTTCTTCTTCATTCCGTTCTGCTCCTTACATTGCTGTCGTTACAATTTCTTCTTTAGAATACACTTGCCAATCCAAATAAACCCCTGACTGGTGGAAGTTAAATGTTCCTGGTAACGGTTCAGTTCTGCACATTGGCCTGAGGGAATTTTAGTATATTCCTCCATATATAGCAACTTCAGCTCTGGGGTGTTGGTGGGTTTCCTTACATGAACTGCTCCCTTCATGTCCTTCCACAACAGTTTGGGTCAGAACTTTGACTTGGCCATTCAAAATACCTACTTTTTCTTCTTTACCCATTCTTTGGTAGAACAACTTGTGTGCTCATGGTTGTTGTTTCACTGCATAATCCACTTTGTCCTTATCTTCAATTCACACACAGATATTCTGACATTTTTGATACAAATCACTGATGTAATTCAGAATTCATTGCTCCTATAAATGACAACAAGCCATTGTGGAACAGCCGCAGCAAAACAGGTCCAAACCATGATACTACAACTACCATGTTTCACAGATGAGACATGGTTCTTATGCTGGAATGCAATGGTTGTCAATCCAAAACATTTGGATTCCATAGGGAATCCAAATGTTGTAGACTGCTTGCGGACTGCTAAAGCTTATAGAAGCTTCAGCAATCCACAAGCAGTCTACAACAGTGGGAAGGAACTGAAAACCCCCGCGGGGGAAAAAAAAACCTTCGACAGAACCAGGCTCAGGGAGGGATGGCAATCTGCCTCGACCGGTTAGGTGGATGTGGGAAGAATTATCCAATTTAGTGTACAGTTAAACAAGTTATTATAAGTTATTGTCCTATTGTTCCTCCATTTCAAATGGACCAATGAAATATTCCATTTCGTAGTTGGTGGAGGTAACAGCAGGCATCATGGTGGGGGCAGCAGGATGCAGATGGTGAAGCCAGCGCCTGTAGTTCAGGAGCTCCAGATCCAGAGACATCCACTGAGAGAACAGGCGCAGGAGAACCTCGGGGGTAGTCACAGAGTTAGTCATATCTAATGGTGATATACAACTATATAAACATATACATACACACACACACATATATATAAAGAGGAGAGGAGAGGAGAGAAGCCCAGTGCATCATGGTAGTCACCCTGGCAGTCTAAACCTATTGCAGCATCACTAAGGGACAGCTCAGATGACTCCGAGCAGCCCTAACTATGAGCTTTGTCAAACAGGAACAATTTTAACCTAATCTTAAAGGTAGAGAGGGTGTACGCCTCCCGAACCCAAACTGGGAGCTGATTCCATAAGACAGGAGCCTGATAACTGAAGGCTCTGCCTCCCATTCTGCTTCTAGAAACTCTGGGAACCACCAGTAGACCTGCAGTCTGAGAGCAAGGGGCTCTGTTAGGATGATATGGAACAATAAGGTCTTTACGATATGATGGAGCTTGATCATTAAGACTTTCATATGTTAGAAGCAGGATTTTAAATTGGATCCTTGATTTTATAGGAAGTCAATGGAGAGAAGCTAATACTGGAGAAATAGGATCTCTTTTATTGGTTCCTGTCAAAACTCTGGCTGCAGCATTCTGTACAAGCTGAAGGTGTTACGGTCAGTTCAAAGACCCACGTGCAGAGCAACAAGACACAGGAGACAGATGTAAAAAATAAGATAATTTATTTTACAGCAGAGCAAAGAAAAACACTAACCAAGCTGGTGGTATAACCACAGACGGAAAGCTAAACTAAAACTAACGGTAACGAAAAACGCACTCGGAAACCGAAACTAAAACTACACGAGTGGTAATGCAGGCATGAAGCTAACTCAAACAAAAGGCTATAGAAAGTCACACAAACGAAAGCTAAGCTAGAACGGGGAACAAAAAGCGACTAAGCAAAAGGCTCAGTGAGGCACTATGAACAAGAAGCTACACTAAAGCACACGAAGCTATAACCAGGAATAATAAACTACACTATAGAAACAAGGGATAAGAAACTACACTAAAGCACACGAAGCTAGCGGCTAACAACTTAGCTGAGGGAAACCGGAGAGGGAGCGGGGAAGGTAGGCGGAGCGGAATGCAGACGGCGCAGCAGGACGGTGGTGAGGACGGGGAACCAGGGAGACGTCAACAGGGAGTCCAGCAGGGAACGGAGGGAGGAGATGAGGGTGGTTGGAGGAGCACACACGCTGGCTGGTGGAGTCCTGGGGAGCGGAGAGACAGTTAGCCACAGAGCAAGCAAGGCACAAAGCAAAACGAGAGCAAAATGAACACTGACTATCAGTTGATCACGGTCCGGCGTCTGCTGATGGTTTGGAGCTGGTTTATGTACTGGCAAAGAAGGTGAAGTGGCGAGTCAAACCCAGGTGTGGCTCCTCAGCTTGATTGCACGGAGATGAAGCACAGGTGTAACCCATCAGCGCCGCCTGCATTGCCGGTCACGCCCACCTAGAGGAAAGGGAGGAAGGGAAAGGAGGGAGGGGGAGTACCGCCACTAGTCGGCGCCAACGGCCGTGACAGAAGGTTTATAAGATAACTATCTAGGACATCCTGATAATAAAGAATTACAATAGTCCAGCCTAGAGGTTATAAATGCATGGACTAGTTTCTCAGCCTCACTCTGAGACAGGATGCTCCTGATTTTTGCAATATTATGAAGATGAACGAAAGCTGTCCTACATGTTTGTTTTGTGGAACTAGACGCTAAGGCGATGCCATCTAGAGTAACTATCTGGTCAGATAGTGAGTTTCTGAGGTGTTTAGGGCTAAATACAGTAAGCTCAGTTTTGTCTGAATTTAAATGAAGGAAGCTACAGGTCATCCAGCCCTTTATATCCTTCAGACATGCCTGGAGTTTGAGTAACTGACTGATTTCATTAGGGTTCATAGATAAATATAACTGGGTGTCATCTGCATAGCAATGGAAATGTATGCAGTGCTTCCTAATATTGTTGCCTAACGGAAGCATGTACAGAGTAAATAATATTGGTCCTAACACAGAACCCTGAGGAACTCCATAAGTAACTCTGGTACGGCTGGAAGAACCATCATTAACATGAACAAACTGAATCTGTCTTATAAATATGATTTAAACCAGTTTAGCGCAGTCCCTTTAAGTCCAATTGCATGTTCCAGTCTCTGTAATAGGATGCTATGATCAACAGTATCAAATGCTGCACTGAAATCCAATAGAACCAGAACGGACACTAGTCCACTGTCTGAAGCTAGAAGAAGATCGTTAGTGACCTTCACCATTGCTGTCTCTGTACTATGATGGATTCTAAATCGTGACTGAAATGCTTCAGCCAAACCATTTACATGCAGATAATCACATAGTTGGTTTGCCACGATCTTTTCAAGGATTTTTGAGATAAAAGGAAGGTTGGATATAGGTCTGTAATTGGCTAAAACACCTGGATCTAGAGTAAGCTTTTTTAGAAGTGGCTTTATTATAGCAACTTTAAAAGCCTACGTACGTAGCCTATTAGCAGGGACAAGTTGATAATATCTAACACTGTACTGTTCATTAAAGGAAAGATCTCCTTAAACAGTCAAGTGGGAATGAGGTCCAACATACATGTTGCTAGTTTAGAAGAATTAACTATTGATGTGAGCTCTAAGAGGTTCACAGTAGAGAAGCTGTCCAAGCAGACATCTACTTTTGTGGGCGTTTCCAGAGCAGCTGCACCTAAAGACATGGTCTGGATTTTTTGTCTAATATTTAAAATTTTATTTGTGAAGAAGGTCATGAAATCTTCACTGCTGAGAGCTAAAGGAACACAAAGCTCCACAGAGCTATTACTCCTGGTCAGCCTGGCTACAGTGCTGAAAAGAAACCAGGAATTGTTCTTATTTTTCTCAATTAAAGACGAATCATAAGCGGTTCTAGTATTACGAATTGCCTTTTTATATTTGAGAAAACTATCTTTCCAGGCTAGATGATATTTTTCAGAATTATTATTTGAGCGCCATTGCCTTTCCCATCTCCTTACATTCTGCTTTAAAATACGCAGCTGTTCATTATACCATGGAGCTGTTTTGTTATGATTTTTTGCCTTCCTTTTCAGACGAGCAACAGCGTCAATTGAAGTACGCAGTAAAGCTGCCGTCCTATCAACTAGATTATCCACTTGTGTGGGACTAAGATTAGATTACTCTCTGTTGTGTTGGCATATGGCATTGAAGAAAATGTCAGGGAATGGTGATTTTGGCCCTGTGTTTTTGTCCTCCTCCAGGCGTCCACCAGAGGGCGTCCTGGAGGAATTCTCAGTGAATGATTCCCTGCAGGTGTGTGAGCTACACACCTGCAATTCATTTGGGTCGTCACCACCGGTATAAGAGGAGCCTTCAACATTCACTCTTTGCCTGAGTGTTGCCCTATATGGCAACTTCTAGCCAGCACCCAAGTATTTCTTCCGAGTTTCCTCCGAGCCTCCCTGCGTGCCTCTTTCTGAGCTTCTGCTCCTGCCTCGTCTCCATTGAGGATTTTTCCCTATGTTCCCGATCCACGTTTTGAGCTTCCCGCCTGCATCGAACCCAAGCCTTCTCCATTGCTCCCAGGACTATCACCACACAACTGGTAACACCCCACACATTTAATTTTTTTTTTTTTGTTCTGATGATGTTTTATGAATCTGGATGATGTTGTTAGGAATAGTTACTCTGCTGTTAATTTTAGGCCTATAAAATCTAGATCTGGATGGTCGGGGGGCGGACACAGTCTCTATGGTATATTTTCTAGGTGGCAGCCTGAAGGAAGCAGCAGAGAAGCGTGTAAGACTGCAACTCTGCTTCCTGGTCTCACCTCTGGACTGTCAGGGGTTGTGCTTACTAATAAATCTGGCCATATTTCTAGATAAGAGAGCCGCACCATCCAAAGTAGGATGGATGCCATCTCTCCTGATGAGACCAGGTTTTCCCCAAGGCTTGTCCAATTATCTATTAAGTCCACACCGTTGTCTGGACACCACCTCGACAGCCAGCGATTGAATGATGACATGCGGCTAAACTTGTCATCACTGGTCACATTGGGCAGGGGTCCAGACAACACTACGGAGTCCAACAGTGTATTTGCATAATTACACACCAATTCAACATTAATTTTAGTGACCTCCGATTGGCGTAACCAGGTGTCATTACTGCGAATGGACATTACCGCTCCATCAGTGAATAACTATCTGACGGTATTTACGTTTATCCTTAGCCAGCAGTTTCAAATAGGATTCTACGTTGCCCGCTCTGGCCCCAGGTATACATTTAACTATGGTCGCCGGTGTCTCTAGCTTCACGTTTCTGACTATGGAGCTGCCAATGACCAGAGTTGATTTCTCAGCAGGTGTGTTGCTGAGCGGGGAAAAACGATTAGAAACGTGAGGTGGGTGGTGAACCGTGGACTTAACCTTCGGACTATGCTTCCTTCGGATTGTCACCCAGCCCTGGTTTCCCGGCTGCTTGGGAACTACTGGAGGACGGCTGGCAGAAGCGGCGGTTGTTGTGCGCTCAGGCTCTGCCGGGACTGGGCGTGACGCTTAGGCCACGTTTGGCAACTAAGACCAGTTTCTGTGTTTAGGTTAGCGGTTAGCATTTTCCGTGGCGTCCGCAGCGGTGGGGGGTATTCAGAGATTAACTTTGATATCCCGAGTCCAGCACAGTGAACGAATAATCGGCTATTAGGCTATTTGGGTTCAGCCCTACTGTGTAGCCCTGTGATACACTGGTTACCTGTCCAGAGTGTTCCCTGTCTTCACCCTTAATTCTTTTTGATCAAGAAGAACCAGGTGCTAGTTCCGTGCTGGTGCTAGGGCCAGTGCTTAGTTGGTTCCAATCCAAGAACCGGTTGCTTTTCTATCGGCAAGAAGCCAAGTTAGAGTCATACCATACGTCACTGCATATGTAGCCATTTACCGAACAATGTTCATGCCACATGGAAGCCCACACAGGACTCCAGACTAACTTTTTTATCAGTGTGACCAACTTTCTCATTTGTTTGCAGTTCTCGCCTTGTCACAGGCAAAACATATGACTTGCTGAACATTTTCTTATCTATAGACTCTACACTTTGCAGGTTGCGGTAGCTGCTGTTGGTGGCTGCGGTGCTCAGACTGGTGTGCAGCCAAAAATGACTTTAAAAAGAGTAAACTAGGGCAGTGATTTTCAACTGGTAGGTCGCGACCCAAAAGTGGGTCTGTTCTGGGTGGGTCGCGGACAGCTGGTCAAAAATAAATAAATAAATAATATATAATGTGCATCTCAGGTTTTTATTTTGAATTTTTTAAAATTTTGACAGGCATTGTAATCATAGTTTGTTTGACGTTCATTTTAAGTTTGTGTTGATGTTGGGATGCAAGATGGCAAAGCGCAAGTATTTAAAATGTGGATTTTCATACATTGAGGATAAAAAGGGACAGAAACCCCGGCGTGTGCTCTGTCGTGAAGTGCTTGCACATGAGAGCATGAAACCATCCAAACTAAAGCACCATTTAGAAACTGAACATCCTGCATGCAAAGACAAGCCAGTTGAGTTTTTTCAGAGACGACTCCAGGAGCTGAGGAATTCTGGAGAGGGCACCTAATCCGACGTGGAACCACTGCTTTTTGCACCAAGAAGCACTGGCAGCTCAGTATAGGGTACACGTACTTGATGAAACTTCAACAAATGTCATCAGAGTGGTGAAAAATTGTCGCTCTGAGCACATGCAGGTGCTGTATCACTCAGAAGTCCGCTGGCTGTTGAGGGGCAAGGTGTTGTCACGCTTTTACGAACTTAACCCTTTCAACACTATAGCCCACGATACCGGTCTGCGGCTTTGATCCTACAGCCCGGTATACCGGGCTCTGGTATATGGCGACTTTCTGTTGACTTTCTAGTAGCTCTGTCTACGGTCACCCCAGACTCTGAAACTCTAATCAAGAGTAGAGCACGTGTCCAACTGTCTCATTAACTTCAACAAATGACCTGATTGGGCCAAAACTTTGTTTTCAAGTAGTTTTGATATTTATTTTGTGCACTTTTGTACATGCAGTTGTCATGGTCCGGTTACTATGCATGGTTATATGTTCTGAAACACATGTTGCACAGGAAAATATATTGAGTTATGTTTTTAAAAATATGATATATGCATGCTTTCAATATCTATTTTTGAAAAATAAATTTGCTTGGTTGAATTCTAAAAATGTGGGTCGCGATTTAATGACCATGGGAAAATGTGGGTCCCAGGGTGAGACCAGTTGAGATCCCCTGAACTAGGGCATTCTAAGGTCAGGTTTGTCCAAGATGAAACCGAGTCATTTTTTAAAAAATTGTGCAGTCTTTTCTATGAGCAGAATAAACAGTGTATGTAGGTGCGCTCTGTTTCTCATGAGAAGACTGCATTTCTAAGTGTAAATACCGCAGTACACCAAAGTTATAAAAGTACTGTTTTCCAAACTGTGGTGCTGCTGGTGGGACACAGTTGTATTGGATTTCAGCAAGTTGTGCAAAACTTCCT